AATTAATAAAAAAAATGTATATCCCGGAAGAAAAAATTCGAAATTAAAAGTTAATGTATAATTTCTTCAATCATTCACAAATGATGATATGGCACATTTTTTTTAAATCTAAAATTTAAATTCAAATTTAATATCTACAAAGCGAGAAAAAAAGAGGGAGAGGGAGGGAAAAAGAAAATAACAGAGAAAAACTTTCAACTGCAATCCTTTTAACATCTTTTAATATTCCTTTTTAAATAACATACTGATAAACAAACTAATGTTTATGGTATGATATTAACTAACACTAAATAAGCAAATAAGCAACAGAAATGTATTATCACACGATGGGCAAAACAATCAACAGGTAAAAAAACGTAAAGAAGAGGTAATTCACTGACTGAATTATATAATACTAATAGATTACAAATAAAATTCATTTTTAAATTAAGAAGAAAACAATTAAAGAGTAGACGGCAATTATCCCACCTCCACCAAACTTTTTTATCAATACAAAAGAAATTGAAGAAAATTGAAAGATACGGCCGCGGTACGGATGAATAGGGTCATTATATCTTGCTAAGGTTAACAGCGGCTTGCTTCTGACCTTATCCTGCCATTTCGTTCATGACAATTTTCTTTTTCGCTTTGAGTACTTTATGGCGTGTAACGTTAAAGTTTGTTGCTAATAAGACGAAAAAGAAAAAGAAATGAAATTTCATTTGGTTAAAAAGATCATTCATTATGCCATTCTAAAATTCCTTTAAAATGTTTCACAGTTATACTCCATTCTTTTCCTTTCCTTTCTCTCCCTCTCTCGTTCTCTCTTCCCGTACAAAGCAATGAGAAAAAAAAACGATGAAAATGCTCAATTCTTGATTGGATGCAGCAAAATAGGAAAGCAAGAAATTGAAGTTATTGTTTTAAGACTAACAAAATATACATACAGAGATAGAGAGATGTGCATATAGACATTGACGTATACATAGGGAAAAAAGAATATATACAGGCATACAAAAACAATACGATATATATACAATAGAGCAAGTAAAATTTTACTGAAGTTTATGTTGGAGAATTGAACACAAATGTTAGCAAAAAGAAAAAGTTAATGATTAATTAGAAAATGTCAAATTAAATAAATGGTTAATTTAGTGGAATGGGTGAGATGTAAATTTAAAAAAAGCGTTTAAGTTTCTTTTCTGGTGAATTCATGTGTGCCATTGCGTGAGAGTAATGTTGTAAATAATATTATTTGTTGAATTAATTATTTAGTTTTTATGCTAAATCATTCAAATTACCACAATAAATTTTTGGAAATTACGAAAATCTTGCTTTCAAATTGCTATTATTTTTATTGTCATATACGATTAAAAAAATTTAATTCAGAATGATCGATTTTTGTCACCTATGAATACAAGAAATTTTGCATAGAAGAAAAAGAAAGAATATTTTCAAAAAAAATAAAAACTGCGCAAAATGAAATATTTGAAGATTTTCAACAAATTTAGCGTATTTAAATGTTTTCGTAACACGTTGTTTTTGCGGATTGCTGTGCTGTACAATTTTGAATATTTTAAATGAAATGAATAATAATATATCAAATGTTGAAAATTTTAAGAAGAAAATATGATATTATAGAAAAGAAATTTTTTTCCAAGTTTTTCTTTTTTCAATTTATTACACATCAAATGATTTTGTGGTTAAACTGATAAGCGCAAAGTAAACAAACAAGGTAAGGAAAGAATAATTTTTTTACGACGTATTCAAAATAAGTTTATGAAGTAAGTTTCTGGAATTTAAATAAATAAGAAAAAAGATTTGACCGGATCCGGCCCACAACTATGTCATCAGTTTTTCACACGGTTGCCTGCAAAACAGTACCAGTTTAAAATATTTCTGTATTAAATACCAAGTTTTGAAATATTTGAAAAAAGAAATTAAAGTTACATTTTTTCGTTTCGAAATAATTGATTATACCATTATTGATAGCCAACAAACAACCGGAATTAAGAATTTCCCTTTCGATATTCATCATTCAACTATTTCATTAATGTGACATATTGGTAAACTAATATTGCATTAATAAATATGTTGCTGTATCTACCACTATTTTTTATATTCATTATTCAAGTATTATTTAAATGCTAGAAAATTCTAATTGCTTGAAAAAAAATGAAAATTCGTAATTGATAATTTGAAATCAATGAAATTTAAACACCGAAAAACTCAAGAGTTGCGACGAGATCTGCAAAGATATCAATTTCGAATTATCAATTACTGACAGCCCAAACTGCAGATCACTGCTGATAGTACTATCAGTGTTGATCAAAAAAAGGAAAACGCGAAATCTTGGTGAAAATTCTCATCGTGAAAAGTTGCTAAAATTTATCGTAATTTATACTAATAAAAATTGGGGCAAGGACAAACTACACATTGAGAATATCAAAATCTCTATACTTTCTGAATTGGGAATGGAAAGAATTTAAAGATATCAAATTCCACATGATACCCGCCTGATTATCATAACATTTGCTATTGATGTTATTCGAATGAGATTTCTTCGGAATGCTATAAAATGAAATTATTCAATGACGATAATATCTTCACTATCATCATCTATCTTTAATATCTTCACTGTCATCATTTATCTTTTACTTAAAAATTTAAGCCAAAATTACAATTCCTATTTGTATCGAATTAAAATTTAAATACTTTGAGTTTATTTTTTAATATATTCAACTTCATTTCCGCTTCTCCTTTTTTTCAAACTCTTTTACACTTATAATGCTCTTGAAGTGGATTTTTTTTTTTGAAGGCTTGCAAATATCTTGTCAGAAACAAAAAAAAAGAAGCAAAAAGTATATCATTTCCATTTGACACGTTCACTTATTCTGAAGTAGTTTCAAAATTTTGTTTTTTTTTTTTTTTTTGGTTTTTTGAGTGAAACAAAATGAAATAACAAACAGATCGATTCGTTAATCGTTGAAGTTTTCATCCGTTGGACTGATAATTAATTAGTGCTATTAAAGGACTCTTCCTTCCTGCTCCATCAATAAATCACTATAGATTTGAAATTATCCTAAAATGTCACTTCAAACTAAAACAGCCTTGCTAATTAGCTTCAACTAGGGTTTTCTATTTTAAAATGACATTTCAAGATAGCTTCAGATCTATTGTAATAAATTTTATTTCAAACTTTGAGAGATGAATTGCGATAAATTATATTTTAATTTTGAATACGAAAGCAAAAAAAATGAACTGCTCAAATGGACAGAGGCGGAAAGGATCGAACTGAAGAAATTTAATGCTTTAAATCATAAAATGACAAAAAAAAGAGCATTGATTGGAATAAAATATGCGAGAAATTTGAAAAAAAATTCTTTACAGATGATAATAATAATGAAAGAATTGTCTTTCTTTCTTTCCTTTTTTTTTCTTCTGCTTAAAATAAAATTCAAAAACACAAAACTCATTGAATTTCTGTAACATTTATTGTCGTCATTCAATTTGTTTTTCAGCTTTTTATATTTGTTTGTACTTTTATTCATACTGTAATAAAAAATTGCATTCATTTTATTTCTTTTCATTTATCATCGTTTCGTTTATATTTATTTTCAATTTACAAAAATTATTTTAATTCGATCATTTCCAACGATGTTATAATATGTTAAAGTGGAAAAAAATCTTAACATTTTAGAATTCTCTCAATCTTTCGCCATCAATTTTACATTCTTTTCAATTTTCATCATTTCTTTTGAATCGGATGAATCAATCAAAGATGGAAAGGGAGACATAGAAAAAGGGAGAGAGAGACGAGACAAACTGGACGAGAAATAGCAGCAGCAGAACGAAACAATAAAAATGACCACAAATTGTTGTTATTGTTTTAATTTTACATAATGACCACAAATAATTTCAAAAGGCAAAAAATAAATAGAGATGAAAAACCATTAAACTTTGCTACTTTATTGCATTATTTCAAGACACACCCATACAAACTCTCGATCTCGGCTAATGCCACTGAATTGCTCAATACAACTATCAAACATCAGAACGAATCTCTCCGCTCTTCCTCACTTCCATTCTCTCTCTTTTTTATTTAATTATCAATCAATAGCTATCAATCAGCAATCATGTATGTGTATGTGTGTGTATGTGTATGTGTGTATGTGT